TGCTTTTTTCCTTGATAATATCACACACTGTAGCAAAAAGGTTAACTGAATGACACTTGCAAACTGATTTTGAACACTTATTGCACACCTTGATTTGATCTGATAGAAGTAAACTGTTATTTACCAATTTTGCCAAATTCAGCTTATCACTGCAGTAGATAACAATCAGCTGATGCACAGCTTGGATTGCTACCCAGGTCTGAAAAAGCTCTTGGACAGAAAACCGGGCAAACCTAGCATAGGCCGATAGCATTGCTTTTAAACTTAGTTAATACAATTGGAAAGCTTTATTTCAGTCTATTAACAACCAGTTGGTCCAATCAAATTATTGTAGAACTTCACATAATTTCTGAATATAGTCTACTTAATTTTGCACTTGAAAAATGAAGTATCATTTCACCAGTAAAGTTTTGATTATTTTTGCTCAGCCATGGGGTGCTTTACAGCAGCTTCAAATTGGCACATACCTCAATATTCTGTCAGTGGTCATGATTATGTACAAACCCATATATATAACAGGAGTATTTGTCTGCACCTAGGCCAAGGGCATACTTACATAGTTTGCTGGTTTCTATCTTGCTTCTTACATGTTCACTGTAGTCTATTTACAGTGCCATGTAAAAAGTACATGTTGGCCGAACTTCATGTACCATTTGGCCAAGTACTGGGCCAATTATTTCAAGCACCCAGTACATTCACAATAGGCATGAATTTGCTGTCACGAAAAGCACAATGAAGGACATTTTCATCTAATCATGAATGAAGATTAGCAGCTTTCCATATCTCCATACCTGGTTTTAACTCTAGTTACCCTTTAAAACAGGAAAATGTTTTTAATATTTTTTATTTTGTCTGTATTTTTCTCTGTCTTTGTTGCATTTTTTGTCTTCCTTTCAGAGGTATGCCACTGAAATTAACTTTAGACTGGAAATGACAGTTAAAAAAAGAGCCAATTCATACTATTATTATTCAGTCATATGCGTAAGTTACAATTCACAAAAATATTATATTAGCATCAAGCACATTTCCAATTACACGAGCTATTGTTTCTTCCCTATAGGAGCTTGATATCAGCTTGAAATTGATGGGGACTTTACCACATATACCACATAATGTCCTACGAGTTATTTTTCCATATAAACCAATGGTAAATTTTTCTGTTTTCTGTACTCTGGATGTGGTGTCAGTATAATGGCATATTTAAAATTAACCCTCACCCCACCCCCCATCGTTTGATCATTGGCCATTTAGACTATCTGAAAGTCTGGCTTACTCAGATTCAGCCCAGTAAGAAAAGATTAACAAAGGGCTTTACAGATCACCACAGAAGCCCCTTGCCCACTTTTAATTGAAAAAAAAAAAGTCATTTGGACTACCAGTAGCCTTGTGAGTTGTTCCTTCATACACACACTATACCCATTATTTTTCACAGGTTTCAACTTGTGATCTGTTTTTTGGAAGAGATGTTATTCTTCATTCTTAATTTATTTACCCTGTTTTGAGAAGGTTTTGAATTGTAAAGCTAGCTGCTGCTTGATTGTGTGCATTTCAGAGCAATGTTCATGGTAATTTACAGGACATCCAGATGATATCATCTCTACAATACAACTTTAAAAAAAAAAAACTGGGGGGAAACTACCTTAATGAGGGAAAGATGTACCTATAGATAGCCTAACCCAATATCAATTTAGAATTATTGTCAGTAGCTTCCATTTCATTTATGGTCCCAATTCAAATTGCTGGTGTTAAGTTATAAAGTCCTTCATAGCTTGAGTCCACATTATCTGAAGAACATGATCTGATTATTGTCAGAAGCCCTCTTCCTGGTACCCTTCCATGTGAAGATGCTGCAAATAACTCTCCAGGAGCAGTAATAGTCCTCCAGTTCTGGAATGTGTTCACCATTTAGGCATGCTTTCTGCCTACTAATATTGTCTTTCCAATGTTGGGCAAAACTGTTCTTATTCTCCAAGATCTTGTTATCTATTAATATGTTAACTCTGAATTAATATATGGCAAATATACTTTTTAGTGTGTTAAATATTGCTTTAATATTTTAAAGTATTGTTTTTTTTTAAAGATTACATTTTGGTTTTAATATGGTAGACCACTCTGAAAAACCTTGATTTTGATGAACAGCATACATTTTCTTAAAACAAATAAATGTTGTAAGAATAAAGTTTGCACATTCTTCATGCTTTGTTAAGAGGAGTGAGAAGAGCAGAGTGCTGACAGCTTGTACAAAGAGATTATGTAGCAAATAAGAGGAAACTCTGGTCTCTAGGTATTGCAGAACTAACAACCTTTCTCCAAAGCAGTTAAAGTGCTATCTTCCCATCCTTAAAAGAGCATAAAACTGTATCAGCATAAAACTGGCTGTTCTCACTACCAACAGTTATGACGGTAACAGCAGGTTGATTCATAATTAATTTGACATTTTATCTTATTTTTCCTGATGTAAAATCTCCCATAATTTAATCTGGATTCTGAATTAATTATGAAGTTGGATCAGACCTACTGAATATCAGTGCTGATTCGCATCTTTCTGGATCATCACTTGATTATTGTTCATAAATTGAAAGTGGCATCAACTGATAGTCAACTTCTCTTTGTAGTGTTTGATATATGGAAGTCATCACAAATGACTTTGTCAGCAAGTAACACTCATGCCTTTGGATTACCCCAACAACAGCATGTGCCAAGGCTGGATGTGTGGCCAAACTGTTGTCTTTACAACAGATTGCACAGCCTGTCCTCCTTGACTCCTATACCTGAATATATGAGCGTGGAGAATTTGATCCCCAAGGCACTTTAGTTATAAAATCTTTAGTTATAATAAACAGATTTTGCTCTATAACATTTTTCCCCTGATTATGTTTGTGATCTTGAAATCAGAATTGAGAATAGACAAAAGTCTCTTTCATTTCTGAGACATTGTGATGCCTACAATGTGTTCACATACAATTGCTGTTCTGTGATCATGTTACTGAATACAGCACAGAATCTGTAGTGAATAATGGGGCCAAGCGCCACACACCAACACATAGTTGTAACTGTAGGAAAAGTTAGGAGTTGGAAGGGTCACAGGTGCTTTAACGTTTGTGTTGAACACGTGCCATAAGCATAATACTATAGTTGCAGGAAAAATGGGAGGTCACGTAGTCTGTTTCAGGTTTGCTTTTTCAATCTTTTAAATGTATGTGCATCTCCTATATCTCATATAGCAGCACAAGAGGCATGCAGATTCACACTTCACAAGTGCATACTGAAAATCAGTAAAATAAAATAAAATAAAATAAAATAAAATAAAATAAAATAAAATACATACTTGCCTAACCATAAATTTCTTCCTCTTCTTCTCTGAGCCAAAAATTGGTGTTATAAAGCCAGTTTTACAGCTTTGTTTTGCTAGTCTGGAATACAGTAACTTCAGCAGTCAAAAATCATAATAAAAAAAAAACATTAAAAGTAATAAGGAGTTCTACAAACTGTAGATTCAGAAAGAAATAACTTCACGAAAACCACTTTGGAAGTGTACGGTATGCTTCATGGGTGAGCCACAGATGTTGTGTACCAAGAGATGTTGTGTATCCTTGCATAGATTGGATTCAGGTTCTTGGGGATTTCTAATGTTTTATATTTCGGACTTCCATTATTTGTACTCTAGATTCAACTGTCTTAATTTTAGTTTTTCTTTATTTGAAAAATTCTCCTTTTATTTCAAGATGTATACTAATATACAAATTTATAGCACTTTTTCTTTCTTTGCAGCAGTATTTATACTAGGATTCTAAAACATTTTAGTAGTTCCAGAAAGCATTCAACCCAATGCTCAATCGTTCATACAAGATGATAAAGGGATAACAGGAATGTCCAAAGATTGCTATGACAAAG